TGTGTGGAGCCCACCCCGCTCTGCCTCTGCCTTGGACCCTCCCTCCCTCCTGCCTCTGCCTTGGACCCGACTGCACGGCTGCAGCACGGTGTGTCACGGATTCGCAGTGTGCGGGCTTGTGGCTCATCAGCATTGGGCTGTCCCGACCGCGTCATCGGGCGTCCCTTCATGAGGTCACACACCTCCACATTTTCCTTTGGGAGTGTGTATCTGTCACGTGTGTATCTGTGTCCCATTCCTGAGACACAGCGCCCAAGCCACGGCCTGCAGCAGCAGAGGGTGAGTCCAGTGCATGGCTTCAGGGGACTCAGTCCATGGCTGGCTGGCCCCCAGATGGGAGTACTGTGGCGGGAGCACCATAGTGGGAGCATCGTGGCAGGAGAACCGTGGCAGGAGCGCCGTGGCAGGATGGCCTGGCGGAGCAAAGCTGCTCAGATCCTGGGGGCCAGGAAAGGGGAAAGCACCAGAGGGGCAGGGGCCAGGCCAGACACAGGCCCCAAGACTCTGCCTCCACGGCCCACCCAGATGCGCCTGGACCAGGTGCCCTCCACCTCCCGTGGGGGGCCTGAAGCCGATCGAGCCAGCACTGCCCCGGCTGTCACAGCACGTCCTCTGGGATTATCACTCCTGGCTCACAGGGCGTGCATACTTCTGGTTTTAATGAATATACCTCAAAGTTTCAAAGACATGGCTGCCGCCTTCCACCTCCCCACCCATGACTTCCCACTGGTCCCCTCCTGGCCGGCTCAGTGTGGTCTCTCCTTTCAGCTCTTACATGGTTCATGCATTTTAATTACCAAAAATAACAATAATTCATTAATAGATTACAATTATGTTTATGTAATTATAAATGTTAATATTAACTTTTCTCTGTCAAAAATGTTATCTATGCATTGAAGAAACTCAACAAGAGAGAAGGGCGAAAGAGTGCTGAATGCCCTACGGAAGACATCTGCATGTCCCCCAGCTGCATCTGCGTGGAGGGGTCTGTGACACTGACAGACGTGCGGCGCTGCTTTATAAATAAGATTGTTGGGATCGCTGCAGAAGCAATTAGGAGCAGTTCACTCTTTTAAAAACATCATTATGTAGCAAGTGCGCTCCCCGCCCGGGATACAGTGTTTGTGGCTGTTGTTTCCATAGAAACCTGTTATTTATTGGGCTAAATGTAGCACAGTTACTTATCCATATCCCCATAAACCTTAAAAACTAAACTTGTAAAGAAGGAAGAAAGAAAAATCATCCTGTCCCAAAGGGTTTGACTGCATCTTAGAACAAAACACATCAGAATGTAAAGCCCAGCAAAACCCAGCACCCAGCAGTTGTAAGAGTCCATAATCCAGTGAAAATCACCAGTGACAGAAGAAAGCAGGAAAGAGTCCAGAGCAACATGGGCCAGCGGATAATACGCGTAATAATCTGTGTTACTAAGAAATACTATAAACATACTCTGAGTGCTTATAATATAAAGGAAACTATGAACAGGATTAAAAATAAAAGCAATGCTAATTAGCAATTAAACTTAGCGCATTTATAAGATGTGCGCGTAACATACATCTTAAGAAGAGGTTAAATTTATTTTATTTTTACACGCTAGCTACAAAGACATCGAACACTGAAAAATTATACCCTCTAACTAGTACCAACTAGTATAAATATTGAAAGATAAATCTAACAAGATATGTGTGTGTTATCAGCCACACTGTGTTGATGAAACAATTAAAAATCCCCTAATACGTGATGAAATCCCAGGTTCACGGACTAAAACATCTGATTTTTCAAATTATCTTGTTTGTAGCTTCTTATTTTCTCTCTTCTCGGTATACCGCTTCCTGGGGTCTCCCTGAGCGGGGAGAGACTGTTGCTCCAGGCCAGGAACTTCACAGAGCACACGCTCAGCGGGTGCGCCCTCCATGCACACTGGAACTCGCACCCGAGGGCTCCCTGTTACTCTTGCACCCCAGGAAGCAACACCCACTGCACTCACGGGCCCAGGGCCAAGCACCCCGCCTGGAGAGATCGCCCCTGGGACCAGCGTGCTGCAGTGCGTCGTGGGAGCCCACCTCGCTTGGCCTTTCTGCTGGAGCTCACCGCCCTGCCTCCCTGCAAGCTTTCCTCTCAGCCCTCCAGTCGCCTCGTGCTGCCCCCGGGGCCCTGCGTGGTACGGCACATTCCCCATCCTGGGACCTGGGACTATTTGTCGGAGAGCTGCTGTCTTGGGATCCGTCAGCCTCTTTGCGTGAATAATAACAAAGCCTACATTTGTGAGACTAGTGTGCAGTGGTGCAAGTTGGCCTCAAGTTGAGCTGTTCATTCAATGTGCTGACAATCAACATCAGGATAGCTTTTTTTTCCTTTTAGAAAGCAACAAAATTAATCAAAAAAATTATCGAATTTCTAATGACAAAGAATAACCACAAACAGTTCAAGAACTTATTAATTAAAATGGGAAAATTTTTCTAAGAGAAAATATGGAGAACATTTTTTGTGAATTTTGATAAGACAAACCTATTTTTCATAATACAGAATGTGAAATTGAATGCTGAAAACCTGGACTTCAGAAAGATGAAGCAGGTTATCATTAAGCAAACTCTGCTGGGGGCTGGTGAGATGGCTCAGTGGGCTAAAGCACCTGCTCAGGCAAGCTGAGGCAGGCGCGGGGACAGCAGGGGTGTCCCAACATCACATGCTGTGCCCGTCCTGCCCCCACGGTGGGCCGAGTGGGCCACAAAAAGAAAAAAGAAAAGCAAACTCTTGGGAGAAGGAAGAGATAAGAGTAGATACAAATAAAGCACATCTCCAATTAAGGATTTGTGTTGCAAATATAGAGGAGACATTTATAATTCAAAGCTAAAAAATGTTCGGACTAATTAGAAACATGCAAAACACGGGCATTTCACAGAGAAGACGAACTACCTATATATACAGAAAGTTGGTTAATATCATCAGCAATGAAAAAGACGAGCGTTAAGTCCACCGTACCACGATGTGAAACAACGCCTGTTACACTTTATGTCTAGTTATTCCGCCAAAGCTTCACATAATTACAGGGTGGCTTCTAGAGTTGGCGCTTAATCCATGATCCAGTGCTGGGATTAGGAGTGTGAGCGCTGCTGGGATGAGGGGTGTGGGCGTTACACCTGCCCTGGGGCGGGTAGCCTGAATGCAGGGTCAGGAAGGGACACAGGTCCGCCCGCACACTGCTCCTCCCTTCCTGCTGCCTTCTGCCACCATGAGCCACCGCCCTCTGCCACGCACCACTGTGCCTTGGGGCCAGCCAAGCACGGACTGAAACTTCCACAGACTGTGAGCTAAGTGAACCTTTCCGTCCTTCATTTTGGGTATCAGGCATTTTGTCCCTTCAAGGAGAGAAAAGTAACCAAGGCAAGCCCTCAGGGGCTTGGCCAGAATTCACTGCAAGCAGACACAAGTGGCCGACGATTTCCACGCATTGATGGTGAAAGTACTGGTCAACTACTTTGAAAACAGTCCCATCAAGGGTACTCAGGGGTTTGTATTTAGCCAAAAGAAAGAAGCACCTGGCTGCGTGAGCACCAGCACGCGGGCGAGGAGCAGCTTGCTCGCAGCAGGCCTAAGAAAGCGCACGCCAGCGTCTGGCGGCTGCATGAGCAGGTACCCACACGCAGCAGACAGCGTGAGGGGCGAGTAGGCAACGCAAGGGAGAAGTGGAGACCTGAGTAAAAATGAAGTTTCGGGAACATGAAATAAGACTGCTAGAACAAGCACAGACATATTTGTCACTATAATAAATGTAAATGTACTAAAATTCTGGGGAAAAAGTGACCTAAAATGGAGTTAAGCTGATAGGAACAGATACTGCACGTGATCTTAGCCCAAAGGCTGAGAAGCGATTCAAAATGGAGTTAACAAGCACAATTTTATAGTGATTGATCAGAAACACACTTACAAGCAAACAGTACAGAAATAAGTAGTAAAATATACTTAAGATCTGAGCCTTAGAAAAAGAGACACTATGTAGTGATAATAAAAATGAAAATTTTAAAGTAATTCCAAACATGTTATTTTAAATGTTGATTTATTTGGCACAGGGTCTCCTACACAGCTTGGACTCATAGTGATCCTCCGTCTCAGCCGCCCAGCACTGGGATTACGGCGTACACCACCAGGCTCAGTGTCGGTGGCTGGCACGGGGTGCCTGGCATTTCGGAGCCAGCACGCCATGTGGTGCTAAGGATTGAACTCCGGGCCTTGAGCTTGCCAAGCAGGTGTCTAGACCACTGTGCTATCTCCCCAGCCCAAAACATGTTATTTTAGTAATATAGTCTTAACATGTAAGAACAGCAGAAGATTTAGAGAAATAAAATTACAAATTTTAAACCCAAAAATTTTTGAAATAAAAGGTCATTTTCTTTGCCTATTTTCAGTACTATTCTTTAAGAAACTAAAAGTATGATAAAACTAAATATGATAATACATAGATTATAATACATTTATAAGTTGATTGATGATTTTAATATGCATTCTTGGGCATGTTCATGCGCATCAGCTACGTAGCACTACAAGCAAGTTAAATTAACGCAACATAATTAATAACCTTTGTCCTCGTAGCAGAAAAATGTAGTAAAGTAATGCACCCCACTAATTAACTAGTAACTAATTAGTAGAGGAAAAGATTACATTGCTCCATCAATTTCATGAACTTTTTTCCTAATTTATGTTAAAAACTCATATCCAAGATGTAAATTATGAAATAATAAGATCATATGCTGGGAACACAGGATGAAAATCAGCACTAGTGGAATTATTCAGAGAATTCTGCAAGGTTGTAGACCAATTTACTCACATGAATAATGTTCTACATCAGGAATAATTGCCTAATGATACAATAGAAAGAAAAGATTTTGCTCACAGTACCAATTATCATTATCAAGAACTAAAATTATTCTGAGAGGAATGTATTTATGAAAAATAGTTTAAATTCAACTAAATAATACAAAATAAATATTCAATAAATGGGAAAAATCTGATCCACTATAAAGCTTAATATTTCACCACCTGTCTTAGTTACTTTCCTCCCCTTGCTGGGACAAAATACCCAACACCCAAAGTTAAAAGAGGACAGCGTGATTCAGCTTACAGTTTATAGCGGTTTCAGTCTGTAACCAGCTGGCTCCCACGCAGGGTCGCATGGCAGAGGGGCATCATGGAGAGGGGCACCCACACTCATGGCACCCACAGGTGGCAAAAGCAACAAGGGGCCATAACACTGTCTTTCTGCCCCCTTGTATTTCATCCGGGTAACTTGGGTCAGCGGGCTCACATCCTCAATCCTAGTGCCCTTGAGCCTAGCACTGCACCACAAATCAATTGCAGTGTCACTACATCCCACAGCCTCTGAAAAAGTCCCACCTGTGACCAAATGAAGCTTTTGGGGGACAGCTAGACACAAACCATACACTTGTTTACACTAAACGGAATCCCAGTCACAATTCTATTTTTATGAAGTCAACACATGCATTTGAAAAACTGCATGGAAGAACAAAAGTCTCCGATTAGCCAAGGAGAGCTGGATGAAGAAATAAAGGTAGGGTTGGGTCCTCCTAGGCACAGCACCAGTCTTGAAAGCCAGCATCAAACACCAGCCTCCTTGTGGTTACGGAGTGCACCTGGGCACAGGCGAGCTCAAGGCGTACCTGTGAACACCTGCGGGGCCAGGAGACGGCGGAACTATGCCTTCTGCCTCTGCACGCCTGGAGGAGCCTTTCACATGGACTATGCAGTCTTCAGAAAATTACCAGGTTTGAATACCAGGGGAAAATGCTGGCTTGTTCGCTCAGTTGTTTTTGAAAGAGCACAGCTGAAACTTTACCTTACATTGTGTTCACAAACAAAATACACATAGGTTATCTGAAACCACTACATGTAACAACACAGAGAGCACAGAGGCGGTCTCTGTAATCTTCCAGTGTGAGCAAACTTCCAACCAAGACTTACAGAACACAAAAGTAAAAAGTGATAGTTGGAGATTGCATCATATTAGATTTTCTCCCAAAACAGACACCTGCTAGACAAAGGTCACTGGTGAGCGTGACTGGGGGAGGTTCCTCATAACGCTGGTGATGACGGTGGGCTGCCGTCTTGCACTGGTCTTCCACTTCAACAAGACGCTTCCGGCTTCCCCAAAAGAAGACCACTGGGAATGTTAGCAAGGGATAGGGTAGACAGTTCCTAGAAAGGCCAGATTGAATGGCTGCGAGGTAAAAAGACCCAACACTGCCTCAGATTAGCCCTCGGAACAGCCAAAGACAGAGAGCGAGATCTTTTGAGCTGAGCACTTGGATGTAGGGAGCTGGTGTTGGGAGCTGGTGTTGTCTGGGCAGTGCAGCCTGGGGCAGTCACCTGGCCCGGGAAGGCTGTCTACGCGAAACTCAGGGCCAGGCTGGCTGCGGAGGCCTCGCAGAGCTCCCCGTGTGGGGAGGCCAGGCTGGGCAGCGTCCTCCATTCTGGCTGGAGTTCGGCTCTCCGGCAAGGGCAAACAGAATTCGCTGGGGTCGTCAGCGAAGCTCTGTGGAAACTGGAGCGGCGGCCGCCTATCTCCAGAGCAGCAGACGCCTTGTTCTTTGTGCTTTCCATGTATTGATTAAATGTGTGCCAGCCAGCCAGGGAGTGCACAGTCCTATCTCTCCTTCACAGCTGAAGAAGCTGCCGGCCTGCCTATCAGCCAGTGCCCGAGTCTCCTGCGGAGGAAGGGGCCAGGCCAAAGGGAGACCGCGTCACTTCCAAAGCTGCAGCCTCTCGGCCTTTACTTGTATCCTGGGTAAATTCAAACACATGCAGAACTACAAAGAGCAGGGTAATGAACTCCCCATGGTCTCCCTGGCTGGCTTCGGCTTCCATAAACAACTCCCAGGCTGCCTGGCTCCTCCCAGGCCCACACCCACCCACCCCATCCCCTTTCTTTATTTTTGAATTAAATCTTAAAGCAAATACCCTTTCATGTCTAAGTATACCATTCACAAACCTTAGTTCTTCCCTCCAACTATAATCCCTATGAATCTAATCACAACGTTCCAACGCTATGATTTTAACCATCAGCTTTTACTGTCAGCAACTACACGGTGGGTGGTGACATCTGCCTACATGTCCTTACTGAGTCCTAGGAATGGACGTGCTGGCACGTGTGCATTCGCACGTGCTTGTACACACACGTGCAGCCAGGCCTGGGGTCGCCTGCTGCCTGGGAAGGCTTTCCCTCTTCCAGCAAGCACTCCTGTCGGTTGGCTTTCTCCCTGCGGAGTTGATTTGTTGAAGGAGCCAGATGTCTGCCTGAGCGTTCCTGGCTGCCTGGCTTTTGCTGATTGCGTTCCCGAGCCATGATTCAGGTGACTCGCACGTCCCCTGCAATTCCTGTAAATTGAAAGGTTTGAAGGCTCCTCAGATTCAGTTGTTGTGTTTTGCTCTGCTGTCTGAGGCAGTGTATTCTCCAGAGCAGCATGCGTCTGTGCCTGGTCCCAGGTTGTGTCTACGGCCCGTACTTTCGGTTATCTACATCCGCACTCCATTAGAGTTTAAGCAGTGTGATATTCCAGGTTTATAACTTCTCGTGTTCTCATTAGCTGGAACGGGTTCACAAAGACAAACGTGCGCTCACCCATGACTTGTTATCCCGAGCTAAACTCAAGCAGGAAAAGCGGAGCAGATGGTGAGACCCGCCCGCCCGGTGCTTTCCAGCTTTCAGGTTCAGAGCTCCGTTCCCCGAGGATGCTCCGTGAGCTGCTTCCCGCCGTGCTGCTGGGAACTCACAGATTTCAGTCTCCTCGCTGCTTCCTGATGCATAGTGCTTCACGCTTTCACTGGCCTTAGATTTGTCTTCTGTGTGCTGCACATGGCCCTGGCTGCGTGGGCAGCTTCCCGCTCTCAGATATGAAGAGGAATTCCATGTTCTTCCACACAGCTCGCGGCCAGCCTCAAGGGAAGCAGCCTCTCCAGGCAGCAGGAGTTCCTCCTAGAAGGAAACGGTGCTCGGCCTCAGCCCCTGCGCTGGGCTGTCTCCAGGCATCCCGAAGGGCAGAGCTCAGCAGGAAAGCAGGAAGCCCTAGTGCAGCACCCCAGTGGATGTGGCATCAAAAATGTACACAAAATACCGTGCATTTCTGAAGCATAACTAGTTATCAGAGTTGACTCCTGATATAGTTAACCTCAAACATCAGAGCAGGTATCAGAGAGGCAATGGATCTTTCTGAGAAATAGAATGACAGGAAGAGGGAGGGGAAGAGAAAGAACAGAAGGGGCAAGAAAGAGAAGGAGGGAGAGGGAGAAAGAAGGAGAGGAAAGGGAAAGAGAGGGGGAGAGGGAGAGGAAGAAGAAAGTGGGGGAGGGAAGGAGAGGGAGAGAGGGAAGAGGGGAAAGAGAGGGAGAAGGGAGAGGGAGGGAGGGGAGAGGAGGAAAGAGAGAGGGGAAGGGAGGGAGAGGGTGGGAGGGAGTAAAAGGGAGGGAGAGGGAGGGGAAGAGAGACAGACGTAGGAAGAATCATGTTTTATAGACTGAGATGTCCAATTGATTGAAATTTTTTTCATCATCTGGCCAATAAGTTAATAAACAACATTTATAAAAGGAAAGAAATACAGGCAGACCCATACAGAAAGTAGGTCAGTCATTGCCGGTGGCTGGCGGGAGGGAGCGGGGCCTGCTAATGAGCCGGGCTTTCTTTATGAGGTAATGAAAATCTTCTGGAATCAGACTGTGGTGATGGGAATATGTTTGTGAAAATACTAAAATCCACTGAATTGTATACTTTATGAGAGTAAATTTTATGGCACGAAAATTATATCTCAATTTAACAAAAAAGCAGGACGTAATATGTTCTGTTACCCTCCTAGATGCACAGACTA